CCCCTAATCCTTTGACATATTTTGAGCTATTGTCTTGCTAAGTTGTCCAGGTTGGCCTCAGACTTGCAATCTTTCTGCATCAATCTCACAAGTTACAGGCCTTATAGGCGCGTGTCACCATGCTTAGCTTTCTTATGTTTTAGAGGTAATTTCTGCCAACACTGTGAAGCCATGCTGTCTAAAACAATAGCCACTAGTCACACATGGTTGCTGATCATTTGAAATCTGGGCAGTCTGAACTGGAATGTGCTATAAATAAAATACACACCATATTGTGAAGACTTTGCCCAGCAATATTTAAAGAGTCTCAATATTTTTATGTTGATTACAAGTTGAATTTTTTTGATAGACTCAATTCAGTAAAATACAAATTAATTTCTGTATTAGTGAGCTTCTTCCAGCTTAGACACAATACTTGATGCTGACATGTGGCTCAGCTTCAAGGAGTTCAGTCCATGGTCAGCTAGGTCCAAGGCAGGAATGTCACGGCAGAAAGGTGTGATGGGAGCACAGAACAAAGGGACAGTGCCAGAGAGGAATGGCCAGGAACCATACAGAGTACCTACGGCCACACCTCTGTAACCTACCAGATAGACCCAGGAGCGTGCTTAACCAATCTGCTAGGTATTTGTTAATTCAATGAGGTTGACATGTCAGGATTAAGTGTCACAATTCGGTTGGCTTCTTTTCACTTCTTTAATGAAGCTACTGGAAAATTGAAAATTTCCCCTGTGGCTCACACCATCTTTTCATTAGATAGCGGAAGTTGGCTTGGGGGATGGAAGAACTAAAGACCAGGAAAAGACTGGAAGCCATGGAAATCCTTAGACCAGAAGTGGTGAGGTTCAGAAGGAGGGCAGTGATTCTGAGAACACACAGGAGAGAACATGGGGAAAGGCTTTTGAAGTAGGACTTGAGTTTTTGGACTTTTGCCCCTCACTTCCAATTCCTGAAGTGGGATTGGGAAGAGGTCAGAGTCAAGCTTGCATGTCAAGTGTCTAATCTGGGTGACTGAAATGTTGGGGGCGATTTTTAGGTTTGATGCATGTGGATTTCAACATGGCTTTGTGTGCTGCCGTGGCTGCATGTGGGTTGTCCTTGCCAAAACTCATGCTGAGGCTCAGTTCCCCAATGTAATGGTATCGAGGTGGTGGGACCTTTATGGGAAATAATTAGATCACGGGGCACAACCCTGGGAAGAGATTAATGCCGCTATGAGAATTCCTGCTCTTGTCAACCAGCTCAGTGCTCAAGTTGTGGACCTTTACAAAACCTGGCAATTATCTTCCATGTCTTTCTTGAACTCCTCTTGAAAGGGGAATTCCAATATTCAATAAAGCCTGACAAGTATGCCAGCCCAAACCAGATGGACACATCTGGAAAAGCCTGGTAAGGGGACATGTCTTCCTTTGTGTAACCCATAAGGATGGCCTTACAATGTAACTTGAGATGTTTAAACTCCTCTAGCAACCCATGATGTCACCCAACCCTCCAATCACAAAGCACCAAATCTGCTTTTGTAACTCCCTACTTGCTCTTCCTATAACAGCCCTAAAGCCCCTCCAGGTGGAGCTCTGACTCTTTGGGAGAGGTCCCAGTCAAGCCCACCAGTGTAAATAAACTGTCTCCTAAGCCTTTTCAGCACCGTTTCTTCCAGTGTTTGGTCTGTTTTCTGTAACAGCCCCATGTGATGCCATCTGCTACACTGACAAAGCATGAGAGCCTCACCACAGGTGGTCACTCCATCTCGGACTTCCCTACCTCTAGAACTGTGAACCTCATAAACTTATTTTCTTTACAGTTTACTCAGCCTGAGGTATTTTGCTACAGTGAGAGAACTACGACACGCATGTATATGGAACAGTGAGAAGTTGAGGGGGGGAAGCTGAGGCGAGGAGGTGTGGTGGGGCTTGTAGATTTAGGAGATAATGTAGAGGTGGTGACTGGAGGACAGAAATGAGGCGATCGATCGCGCAGGGAGAGTAAAATGACAGCCTCACACAGAGAATTATGCAAATGACAGAGCGTGCGGCTCAGAATTAAAGATGTGTGTGAGACAGAAGAGTAGAGAGAGTGACCCAGGCTGACCAGGGAGGATTGGGGACCCTGTCACCGTGGAGACCTCAGCGGACTTTTTCCGGTGGGGCATGCTCACAGTGCAAGAAACACACTGGAGAGACACCATGGGGAAGCCACAGGTAGTGTCTGTTGGGTGCGGCTCTGAGCCGCTGAAAGTGGATATTAGATTGCAGGGGAGGGGGAGCAGGGAGAGGAGAGGAAGCTGCAGCTGTGGGGAGTGCTCTTTGGAGAGGATCCTGCACGAGAAAAGGTTTCTGGGGCCAAGGAGGCTGAAGAGGGGGACACAGAGGACTAGCGAGGGAGAGGCCCGAAGGAGGAGGGGGAGATGGGCGACGAGAGTGGGGAGGGGATGGTAATTCGCCGCGCAGGCAATGGACTGGTGCAGGAGATGTGCAAACGTCACACCTGCAACAAGAGTCTCATGCAGCCCCCCACTTTAGCTAGGACTGCTTAGGACCCTCCGGAGCAACCAGCCCTTCCAGGGAAGCCATGAGACAGGGCCTCTTCGGAAGGGAGCCGGGAGGAGCCCCTGTCCGGAGTTTCAGCCCAGGGCTCTCGCTGGGGGTCCACAGAGCTGGACCGCGGCTCCCCGGAGGCTGGGTCAGGAGACTGCTCTCTGCTGGGTCGTTGGAGCCTCACTCTCAAGGCCCCAGGGGCAGCCAGAGGCTCTTTATAAGGCAGCATCTCTGTCCAGGGCCCTCGGAGGGACCAGAGACAAGCCGATCAGTCGCTTTCATCCCCGAGCTCCCAGCTAGGGTTGCAGCGCCCGGCCTTCTCCGACAGGGGCGCTGGGCACCCGCGGATGGCCTGCTCGGCCGCGTCCGCTGCCTCCTTCTCGTGTCCACCTGGGCCCGCGGCGCTGGAACTTTTCTGGGGGCCGCTCGGCGCCCTCGGTCTTTAGAAGCCCGCAAATGGCAGGACCCCCTTGGTTCTGGGCTGGACACGGTTCCTGGCCTCTTCCTCCGGCCGGATTCCTGCTCTGCCCCAAGTTCCATTCTGGCTCCGGTGGGACAACAAGTTCACCAGGCGGAGGGCCCGGAATCGCTGGCGCTCGCCCCTCCTGCGGGAGAAGTCTCGGGCGCGGCCACCGCTTACTCCCAGTCTCTTCTCCTCGGCCTCCTCTTCTCCCTCCTTCCTTCTCTCCACTCTCTCCAGCGGGCCGTCTCCTCCCTGCTGCGCTTCCCTTCTTCCATTTCCCCTTCGTCTCACGGTCCTTCTCACCCTCCCGCGCGTCCTGCTTCCTCTCGCTCTGGATTAGCCTTTGCTACAGTGGAACTCCCCTAACGTGCGAGAGCAGGGCGGGCCTGGAGCCTGACTCCGCGCCCCTCCCCTCCCCGCCTCTCCAAAAGCTCTGGTGCTGCGACTCTGCCTCGCCAGGAGGTCCCGGGAGCTCCCCGAGGCGGCGCCGCCCCCGTCCCCGGGTCCACCCGGCCGTCCTCAGGGTGAGCCCGTCTCTCCGGCTCCCCTAAGGTCTCCGTCTCCCGGTGGTCACCGAGCGCCCAGGCCGCCCTCCGGCAGCGGGCCCAGGCCCTGATAAGTCCGAGCTTCCCTGAGCACAGCACCTGCCAACTGGCGGAGGACACTTTAACAACTGGGTCGGTTCAGACACGGGTCTGGGGCAGCGAGGGCCCCATCAGGCAGTTCCAGGCAGGGAGACGGGGTCTGGGTCTCCCCGGTGGGAGCAGACATTTCTCCTACCCGCTCTGCCCACTTCTGGCCGCGGCCCGGAAGCAGAGCCGTGCCCCCTGCCCCGGCACCTCCGGCTCAGTTTCCCCGCCCCGGGAGGGTTAATCAGAGGCTGCTCGCGGGCGGCGGGGCCGTGGGCGCGGTGCGGTGGGCTCCCGGAAGAGCGGCCCTGCCTTGCTCTCCATATGCCTGCTGACGGCTCACAGGCTCCTGCAAACGCAAAGACACCCGCGCGTGATCCGCGAGCGCCCACGGCCCGAGCGCCCCCACCCCGCGGCTCTCTCTAACACGCACAAGGCTCGGGTACACGCGCACGCAGGGAGCCGCGCGCCCCCGCTCACCCGGCAGCCCCCCCAAGCAGCTCCTCCAGATACCCCCACCCTGTGGCGCCTGCCGCCAGCCGGCTCGGGTGCACCCCCGTCCCCGGGCTCGCACGCACGCGCACGCACGCACTCCCGCGCCCCCGCACCGGGCGGGGGCACAAGCCGGGGAGCCGAGCCGAGTCGCGGGTCCATCCCGCGCCCGGCTTCCGCGCGCAGCCTCCCCGCGCAGGCTCGGGGCTCCCCTCGCTCTCGGACGCGAGCAGTTGGCGCCGAAGCACTTAGCTTTTCCTCGTCCTCCTCCTCCCCCAGGCCCTCGTACCTCGGGCGCGCAGTCGCGCGCTCCCCAGAACTGGCCCGAAGAGTAAACCCCGAACGCAGCGAGCGCCGCTCCCAACTCCTCGCCGCGAGCAGGTGGGAGGCTGGATTTCCCGGAGACTTGGAGTCGGGGTCCGTTAGCCAGCCCCTCCTTCTGGATTCGGCTTGATATTTGTATTTTAAAAGAGGATTTTCTTACTACCTTCCAACACTCCTTTTCAAAAAATTTCTGGAAGAGCTCGTGGGGAGGGGGATTTGGGGAGATCTTATTTTAACAACAACCACCACCAAAACACCGAGGGAGCGTTTGT